TATTTATGTCTGCAGCCCACTTTTTTTTGTTTTGTTTTTTTGAGACAGAGTCTCACTCTGTTGCCCAGGCTGGAGTGTGTAGTAGCGCAATCACAGCTCACTGCAGCCTCAGGCCACCGCACCCGGCCTGAAGCCCACTCTTGCCTCACACACTAGTCTCTGGCAAAGCAGGTATCCATAGTTTCAATGTGAATCATGCCATATAACTTAACAAGCTAAATAAGGAACACTCATAGGGTTTAATATCCAGCACTGATTGCATGAGAAAACCATGGTTGTATGCAAGTTGTTCTCAAACACTCTTTAAAAATATATCAGATCAGTCTCTTCATTACAAGGTACACTATAGGAACACTGAGGAACAAATTCCTTCAGTAATGAACCTCACCTAATACCCCCACTGTTTCCTGGCAGTCATTCACACACGCCCCTCCTTTCCCCCTAAGTATCAGCAACCAAGAACATGCTCTCACACATTCTCATTCATTCATTCCCTCTCTCTCTCTCTCTTATAGACACACACATACACATTCTCATTCATTCTCTCTCTCTCTCTCTCTCTCATAGACACACACACACACATTCTCATTCATTCTCTCTCTCTCGCAACTATCCTCAAAGGCCTCACCCAAGGCTAGTGGACAATAAATCTAAAAGAAAAAGCCTGCTGGCCAGACATTCCCTCAGACACAACTGAGACCCTGTCGTTTCTTGAAGGTTTGGGACAGCAGATCATTCTTGAGCTGAGTGAGTGAAGCCAGACTTTGCTGTCAGCCTCGCGAAGGATGACACTCCTCACATAGCCTAGCATTTTGAGAGCCAATCTGGCAGGAATTAGCTTCTCCTTCTTACCCAGTCACCACAAGAGGTGCCAGGCCTGCTCTGGGTTCTACCTAAAAGAGGTCTAAGGAAACCAACAATTGCTTTCTCTGTAGAATCTTTGTTGGTTATTCTGAAATACTGTAGCTTTTTGGAGCATAAATGATAACAGCCCAAATTATTCTTTTGACTCAAAACACAACTGAAAAATACAAGAAACAAAACCATTGACTACAATATTTCTGTGGGAAAAAAAAAAAATCTCTTGGCCAGGTGCAGGGGCTCACACCTATAATCCCAGCACTTTGGGAGGCCGAGGTGGGCAAGTTGCTTGAGCCCAGGAGTTTGAGACAAGCCTGGGAAACATAGGGAGACCCCATCTCTACAAAAAATTACAAAAAATTAGCTAGGCATGGTGGCATGCACCTGTGGTCCTAGCTACTCAAGAGGCTGAGGTGAGAGGATTGCTTGAGCCCAGGAGGTGGAGGTTGCAATGAGCCGTGATCATGCCACTGCACTCCAGCCTTGTTGATGAAGGCAGAACATGTCTCAAAAAAAAAAAAAAAAAAAGACATTCAGCCACTTCAAAGTTTCATCAGATAATAATTAGTAATCTTCAAGCACAGAAGATCCACAGGAATCAAAGAATCAGAAGGGTGAAAACAACAAGTTACAAAGGCCATTTGCCTCTACACATAAATGAGAAAATAAACAGAGATAAATTAGGAGGCTGCCCCAGTGTAAGTTTTGACTAGAATTTGAGTGTTCTGATTCCCGATCTACACTTTCTGCATCTCTCCTAAATCCACAGCATTAAAGTTAACATTTGTAACAAAAACTCAAAAACTTTTTATTTCTAAACAGAGAATCAGCACAATTTCCACATTTATAAATACCATAGCAAAACACATTTTTGAAAAAGTAAAGTTGGAAGAAGCATTTATTATAGTTCCTGAGGATGGCTTACTGAATCTAAACAAGCATTAAATCAAAAATAAATCAAATAGATGACAATGGTATATTATTAATAAATAACATTTTGTTCTTTGTGATCAAATTAACAACATAATATAACGGTATACAATTTTTATTCTAAGAGAAACAGCCCAGTTGGGGGGAAAAAAAAAAAACCACACACACACACACACACATACTTTACTCTGTCAATCAACTGGTCGCTACAGTGGTCCTTCTGGTCCTTACCCAGAGTTAAGTATGATGTAAAGGCTATGCTAAAAACCACCAAGCTTTGAGATCTTCACAGACTCAGCCAAAAGTCATTGACCTTACGCTGCCCCATTTTTTACCAACCATGCTGGGCTTCCATATTGCTGTCCATATGCTGTCATAAAGCGACATGTTCTAGCTACCAATGCCTCCACTATCAACACCCCAACAGCCAGGATGAAAACAAAAAGACAGGACTGTTTAACTGGGCAAAGTCCAATTCAGTCAATTCTTTGATGTTTCTCTTCGTAGAGAGAAATACCTAAGACTGAGAAGAAGGCATTCAAATTCACGATTTTAGCCTCAATAAGGACATTACTGACTTCACTTAATGTAAAATAAAAACTTGGATAAACAGGTATTTCTTAGGTATGGTCTCAGCTTTGAAATAAATGACAAAGCATAAAAGGAGAAGAATCTTGAGAGAATTATTCCTATTACAAAAGCATTTCATTCTACAAAGGGATTCACAACAGGCTTTTAAAATTAACATATACATTATAGAATGCTGCAAAAGAAAAGGATGTATATTCAATATGCTAGAAGGCTATTGAAAGTGAGTTGTAGCAGTGATAATATTGAATGGTTCTGTTTTATTGATTCAGGCCCTTGATGGTTGCTACTGAGATGAAGGTTACAGGTTGGATCCCAGAATATGTCATTTAGGTTTGAGAAAAGGAGAAACATGCAGAACTTCTAACTGTAGATACAACTAAATTGTGGATTTTCAGAGAACTGAAAAGGTCTGAAGGGTTAAAGACAGAGCTGTCATAGGAAGAAACAAAGTAGACAGTCTTCCAAAAGTCAGTAGCATTCTGTGACATATGTGCCATATTTGATTATTATTCTGAACATTAACCATAAACTTTCACTTTCCATACAGGCCATTAAATCTCTTCTACTTAGATCAATGGCCTGAAGGAAACTGACCAACTCACTTTATATCAATATGAGGACATTTGCTGTGACTGACAATTGAAAGCAGCTCACCCCTCTATGTAAACTGTAAGTCGAGAAATAGGATTATGGAAAAAAAGAAAGAAAATAAAAAATGTTTAGAAAGAGGAAAAATGTACTTCCGATTTTCAACTATTACATTAGTGTTTATCTTTTTAAAGGTAGAGACAATCTAAGTACCAAGCCATCTCCATTCTAACAAATTAATTTTTTTAAACACAGTGAACAGCCTGGAATCAGCATAGAGAAGGAGGACGTCAGGAAAATTCAGCTTTTTGTGCACAGATCATGCTTTTGTTCTCCAACACATAAGACTGCACATCTCTTTCAAATGCATTAGCTATCTAAAAGTGAGCCCAGCCAGAATTTATCAGACACAATTTATCAGAATTCAGCAATTGTGTGTAGATCCCCTACTATGTGCCAACATAGAGCAACCTGCTATCCCTGAGTCTGCTTGTTTTTGGAGAGACTGCAGAACTGTATAGAGTCCATACTTTCTGTAACCAAACATTTGCTCTAGAAGTAACTCTACACCTGCAAACACACCCACTTTTTCACAGTAAGTCACAGCACTGCTGTGACTTTCTTGATTCTTTTTTGCATAGGACCAATGACACATCTGTATTAGATTCCAACAATTTAAACATAGGTCTTTAAGTCTGTTGCTTTGTGCATGTCAATTTCTGCAGGCGAACAGCTGAGTTCGTTTTCAAGCAGCAATATTGTCCAGTGAAAAATATACCTTTCTGAAACAAAAGATACTTTTTGTCCTCATGAAGCTTTGTTGCCTCTTCCAGCAGCAAATGACTCAAAAGACGTGTTCTGCCATCCTCAATAGCGGTTTTCAGGCAAAGAGGAACACCAAATGAGGTACCAGCAAAAGCTTAAGGAACAAAACCAAGGTGAGTTGAAGGCGGGGAAGAAAGGCGGAGTGGAAGCGAGAAATGCAATCTAAACTCTACTTTGTGATCTAAGAAATTCAGCTTTTACTGATGAATTGGGCAAAGGAAGGGGAGGGTACAAGAAAGGGGAAGACAGTATTTTCTGTTACGAAGGAAAAAAAAAGTGTGCTGCTGTCCCGGTTTTCTTTCAGTACCAGCACCCAGAGAATGCATGGCAGGCACAATCTAGTTTCGTGATGAAAACGGATTCCATGAGAATAACACAAGTTTGTATTTGACACAATGGAGATATCCAACCAAACCGAGAAACTATACAATTGCATGACAATTCCTCAAAATTTTAAGTGCCTTCGAAGAGCAAAAAAGAAGTTTATAATTATTCATAGGACAGGGTTATCAGTTTAATATGACCATTTGCAGGATGTGCACCCGTCCTGTCATATCCTAGTTTAAAGAAACCGCTAATGACCTGAAATGCTATTATCCCCTATTTGCCAGGACTGTGGGCCTGATGGTGTCACGGATAAAAACCAAACAGCGACCAGAAGCCAAGAAGTCCCTAGCGAATTCTTTTGAAGCACAACCCCTACAATCCATGTGCCGGAGCGTAAAGATTGAAGTGTGCGCGGTTCCTCCTCCCTCCGGGCCGCGCGTCCGGAACGTTCCTGGTTGTCAGGTGGGTGGCGGGGGCCCCGGCGGGAAGCCCTGCCTGGCAGCCTTGAGTGGCGCGCCGGCGGAGAGGACCGAGCCCCGCGGAGTGCGACGAGTCCCCAGCCAGACCACCGCTCACCTTTGTTCGCCTGCCCTCGCCGGGAGGAGGAAACAGCAGGGCCCAGGAGGACAGGGGGCGACCCTAACGATCCGCGGCTCCTCCCCGGCGCCCGGGAGGAAATCCGTGGCAAGCCAGACCCTTTCTGGCTCCCAGAAAGCCAGCCGGGCAGGGGGGTCAGCAACCCCTCCCCGAACACAAAGGTTGGGAAGCGTGAACGCGAGCGTTGGGGGCGCGGGGGCGTGCGCCAGAGAGCACGCGAGTGTGCGTGTGCGCGCGTGTGTGTGCAGGGGGAGGGGAGGAGGGGCTTCAGCCCTTCTTACCTCTCGAAGATGAGCCGCACCATGAAGATGCAGAAGGCCAGGGGAAAAGCGAGATAGAGGTCCTCAGCCTGCGGGAAGGTGGCCTCCTCCGTGTTCTTCAGGTCCGCCCAGGTGACATTGTGCGGGAGCCAAAACCTCTCGTTCCAGAACCAGGCTAAGATCCCTGCCATCTTGCTTTGTCCACTCCTGTCCTGCGGCACCCGCAGCCCGCCAAGCTCTCCACCGCGCAGGGCGCCCGGGGATGCGCGCCCGGCTGGCCCCGAGCCTGTGCCGCCGCCGCCGCTCTCGCCCGCCGCCGCCGCCGCCTCCTCAGCGGCCGCTGCTCTCGAAGGCTCGCGGCGAGCCCCGGTTCTCTCCTCCCTCTGGCCGCGCTGGGGAAAGGGGCCGCCTCGCCCGTCACATGGCAGCTTGGGCCGCCCGCCCTGATTGGCTAGTCTTCGCGTCAAACAGCGAGGCACACACGCGGCCAACTCGCCCACGCCCGGAGGGCAGGGCGCAGTCGCTGCGCCCTGGGCGCAGGGGCACCTCTCCGGGCAGTGTCGCCCGCCCCTGTTCTCACCGCTCTCTCGCTTTGTGCTTAGGGCGACCTGAAGTCAGCCCCCCAAATCCGCCCTAGCCCCCTGGCTTGCTCGCACATGCTCAGAACGCTGGCTCCTGCCCCGCTGGGGTTTCAGGGCTCTCAGTCCTCTTCCAGTGCACCCGGAGGCGGTGGGTCGGCAGGTAGGGGCTGCGGCCAAGCTTCAGAATCAGCCCTGCTCCAGGAGGAAAGCAAAAGGAGAACTGGGGGGGCGGGGGCGGGAGGAGGGGGGGGGGGGGGGGGGGGACGGCCGGGGGGAGCAAAGAGCAAAGGAGGAAGTAGGAGGGAAAGGATCCTCCACTCCCGCGCTTGGAGAGGCAGGGTGAAAAATCAGGAACTGAGGCAGAATGGTTTGGCAAGAGCCTTCTGCCTCAGCCCCACGCCTGTCTTTCCCCAATCTTTGACTTTCCGGCCTCTTATACTGCTGCTTCTCATCAAAGTAGCTCCCCCAGGGAACAAGCCCCCCTACATTGATTTATGAGGTGGTACAAAAAATTAGGCACTTTACTGCTATTTGATTATTGCTACTTGATGATGATGATGATGATGATGGTGATAGCAACTGCAGCGTTCTGTAAAACCACCCCTCTCAACTAACCTCTCTGAAAAGGCTGCTAGACCACATTTTGACCTCACAGATCATGAGAACCTCCACTGTGCTACTCGGCAGGCTCGTTATTTCTGCCTTTTGAATCTGAAACCTTTAAGGCATTAGGCCTGTGAGGCCTAACGCAGGCACCTTCCCTCCCGCAATGCATTTCCCCATTGGTACAGGAGCCATGTGTGAATTTGTTCCATGGCCCATGTATTCCTGGTTCTGGGACATTTTTGTTCATTTTTCTCACATTCATTTTCTGCCTGGTGCTGCCAGTAAGCTATACTGAACCTTTCCAATGGGCATATAACTGCACACACACACACATACACACACACACACACACACACACACAGAGAGTTTTACTCATCTTTCCACTCTATCTCTTGAAAGTGAAACTGAAGAATGGTCTATACTGGTACTTCCAATTTCTCTGCCCTCATTTTCTTTTGGACTTCCATTTGGACATGTGTCTCCTCTGCTGCATTGAAACTGCTCAAGGTCACCTGTGATCTTTATGCTGCTAAACACAAAGATCAGTTCTTATCTTAGTTCATTCTGCTTAGACTAGGTGGCTTAAACAGCAGAATTTATTCCTCACGGTTCTGGAGGCAGGGAAGTCCAAGATCAACGTGCAGGCAGATCCAGTGTCTGGCAAGGATCCTCTTACTAGTTTGAAAACAGCTGTTTTCTTATGTATCCTCACATGGCAGAGAGCACAGAAAGATGAAGCGCAGATCAGTGACTTATCTTATTATAAGGGCACTAATCCCATTCATGAAGGTTCTACCCTCATTAGCTAATTACGTCCCAAAGGCTCTATCTCTGAATTCTGTCACATTGGGAACTAGGATTTCAGCATATGAATTTTGGGGGACACAGACATTCAGTTCATAGCAGTTCACAACACCTCTGTCAGTAGTATTTGGCCCAGATGTCAGGTCCTGTATATTGAAACATTCTTGATTTGGCTTCCAGAAACCTCACTTTTCTGAATTTCTTCCTCCCTCATGGCCATTTCTTCTCAGTCTCCTTCCTGGTTACTCCTCACTTTTCTAACCCCTAGAAGTTCGAGTGGCCTAGGAGTCAGTCTTTTGTCCTCTTCACTTTTCTATCTGAATGTATTCATTTGGCGATTTTATCCAGTCTCGTGGCTTTTAATGACATCTGTATGACCTCCAGTGTCATGCCAGTAGCTCCTGTATTTATATGTCTAGCCATGAACTTTTTCCTGACCTTCTGACTCTTAAATCCACTGTCAATTTAACACCACCACTCAGATGTCTAAAAGCCATCTCATGGCCAAACTATTAATCTTCCCCTTAAAATCTCTTCCTCCTGTAGTCTTGGCTCAAGCCAAAAATGTGGAGTCATTTTTTTCCCCTTCTCTCTTTCTCTCATACCTCCTTTCTAGTCCATCCCAAATCCTGTCAGCACCATTTTAAAACCATAATCTCACCATTTTTCACCACCTCCCCTGCTAGCATCTTGGTCCAAACAACCAATATTTCTAATCCATGTTACCCCAGTAACCTCCCAACTCCCAGTTTCACCCTTTGCCCCTCTACAGTCTATTCTCAGCCAGTGTGATCCTATGGAAATTTGTCAGATCACCCCTGGGTGAAAACCCTGCTTCTTCCCCATCCCTCCCAAGTGAAAGCCAAATTATTCCAATGGCCTGTGATATTTGGCTCCATATTAACTCTGACTTATTTACTCTTCCCTCTCCCTCACTCTGCCTGAGTCCACTCTGGCCACCCTGCCCTTCCTGGGACACACCAGCCATGCCTTAGAGCCTTTGTGCTTGCTTTTCTCTGTCCCTGGAACTCTTTTCACACAAATATGCATGTTTGTTTTTTCCTGATGTCATTTTCTTCCTGAAGCCTTCCCTGGCCACCCTAGTTAATCTACATCCCTCACTCCCCACCACCACTCCTCCTATCCTGCTTTGTTTTCCTCCAAGGCACTTACCACCATCAACACAAGATATACTGTACCTATATCTTCATCAATCACCCACACACACATGCACTAAAATGTAAGCTTCAGAAAGTTAAAAGATTTGCATTTATGTTATCAACTGTTCTATTCCTAGCACTTAAAAAAAAAACTGCCTGGCACATGGTAGATACTCAATAAACTATTGAATAAATGAATCAACATTACTCTAACCCCAAAAAGTCTTCTCAAGGAGAATAAAAAAATCTGAATACTTGTGTTAAATGTTTATATATCCATGTTAGACTCGTGTGAAGAATAGTGTGGGCATAAAGAAGGGATTGGTCAATCCAGGGGTGAGGGAGGTGAGGTGTCATTGAAGTGAGTCTTCATTCGGGAGTAGAAGTTGCCATCACCACTCCAGACCATGCGGCCAGCTTCTTAGTAACACTGGAATATGCGTTGGCACCAACTGCATTCTCGTAGGCCATAGGCAGAGGTTTGTTAAGACCTCTCACCGTCTTTGTGTCCAAAAGTCATGTCATGGTGGAGCCTAGCCTTGTGGGCCAGCCACACTTCCTCTGTGACTACCCTGGGTTTCTCATGTCACTCCCGTCTATATGACCTGATAGTACCTTGCCTCCTACTCCATGGCTTATGTGCTCTCTGGCAGCTCCTTCTGTGTCCCCAAGCATGTATAATAGTGTTGGTGAGTTAATGCCCTGAGATCTGACTTTGATCATGGGCAATGAAGACAGTGAGTACATTTTAATTCCTTTCCTCCCCACCCCTCGGACACACACAATGGCTTCAAACAGCCTCTCTGAAAATATCCCCGTCATTTTATTTCAAGGTTGTGACCCACTTAGTAACTCACCCCCCTGATACAAACTCATCATTTTATTTCAAGGTTGTGACCCACTTGGTTATTCACTCACTTATATGTCATCTCCTCTTTCTCAGCTCACTCTCCTTTTCTCTCATTCCTGCTTCCCTGAAACTACACTTCCCTGGAACTTAGAAGCTAAACTAATAGGAGAGCAAAAGATAATGTGGCTCTCCCATTCGTCAACTTTGAGAAGGTGGTGGGATTTCAGGAACATTTTGAAGGGTGAGTTTCGTTGGACAGTAAAAGGAGGATTTAGTACTTTCTATGAATCTTCCATAAGTTCCTTTGTTTCTAAGAACATGTCAATACCCTCCTGTGTGATTTGTGCATCCACAGTACCTGTCTTGACTCTGTCATTGACTGTCATTAGGCTCATATGAGATAACATGTGAGAAAAGGCTTGTAAACTATTCCTCTCTATACCCATGTACAGTTCAACAAACACCTACTCCTTATCTGTCTAGTAGAACTCCTCCAGCCAATGGCTCCTTCCTACCACTTTGCATCTAAATGGTTACCCCAGAAACATAGTAGAGTAAAATATCATTCCAAATATGATCACATTTTATTGGTCCAGGGATGGACAATTGGCCCAACATGGCAATAAAAGTCCTTTTTCAGGTGTTGTGAGTCGGGTCAAGACAGTCTTTCTCTGGACGCTTAGATTCAAGGATTCAAACTCAGAAGCTCTTGACCCCCTTGCTTCATTACACAGCTAGAAAAAGCAGAAGCTAGTCTACAACAAGAGAAAAAAATAAAGCAGACCTGTAGAGTTAAGACCTGTAGAGTTAAAGGTTAAGAGACACACAGGGAGTCCTGTTGGCATTGGAGCTCCAGGTTCCATTTAATACCTAGGGGCCAACTGTCTTCTCATCCTTAAGTTCTGTGAAACAGCCTCATATCTCGATAATTCCACTTTTGGGTTGAGTTGCTGCTATTTCAATTCACAAAAGACCCACTATCCAAGACATTAAGAGCACATGTCTTTTTTTTTAAATGATGGGGTCTCACTATGTTGCCCAGGCTGGAGTGCAGTCCCACTACTCATCAGCATGGGAGTTTTGACCTGATCAGTTTCCAATCTGGGCCAGTTCACCCCTCCTTAGGCAACCTGGTAATCCCCTGCTCCCGGGAGGTCACCATATTGATTCTGAACTTAGTGCAGACACCCGTTTGGCATAGTGCACTGTAGCCCAGAACTCCTGGGCTCAGGCAGTCCTCCTGCCTCCGCCTCCTTCCCGAATAGCTTGACCACAGGTGCATACCACTGTGCACAGCGAGAGTACACGTCTTTAACACTATCCTGAGCCCAGCTGAGGCCTTAGGGAAGTTAGTCACAGGAGGGGGATAGCACAGCATACCTCCCAAGAAAGCTACTTTGTAAATATACAAGAAAGACTTCTAATTGTTGCCCCAGGAAACCAAAATACAATTTATGCATCAGACTAATATGTAGCCCAGTGAGAAAGTAAGTAGCTGGTTGGTAAATAGAAGGGACAAGGCAAGAGAAAAGGGGAGAAAAAAATGTGTTCAGGGGAAGTGACACTTACACTGCATATTAGGAAAGCATGCTTTGTTTTCTGAATAGAAAACATCACCTGAGAATACACCCTGATTTCCAAGCAACTGGAAAATATCAACAAGGCTGAGCTTTCTCTCTCGTTCTCAGGTCCATACCCAGGTCTTAATTTGAGTTCACATTGTAAGCAATTTCCACTTGTTTTGTTTTGTTTTGTTTTGTTTTGTTTTGAGACAGAGTCTGGCTCTGTCGCCCAGGCTGGAGTGCAGTGGTGTGATCTTGGCTCACTGCAACCTCCACCTCCCGGGTTCAAGTGCTTCTCCTACCTCAGCCTCCCAAATAGCTGGAATTACAGGCGCATGCCACCACACCTGGCTAATTTTTGCATATTTAGTAGAGACAGGGTTTCACCATGTTGGTCAGGCTGGTCTCAAACTCTTGACCTCGTGATCTGCCCACTTGGCCTCCCAAAGTGCTAGGATTCCAGGCGTGAGCCACTGCGCCCAGCCGCAATCTCCACTTTTTAGATGCAGGAGAACAGCCAGAAGTTTAGATGAACTTCCACTATGGGTTACATAACACGAATTTATATAGTACTTGTTCTACAAAAAGAACATGAAAGCTATTTGGGGAGCAGGATGTGCTCACATGAAAAGCTAGATAACAATACATGCCAACACCACTGAAGATGGCCCACAACAGTATGTGACAAGTGTGCAAGTACTGCAGACAACAAGCGCTTCCTGCTCAAAGGAGGACGACATTCTGTTTTGAAGAGATCAAGGGAACTTCAAGGAAGACACAAAAATGGAATCAGACTTTAAAGAATGAGTAAGATTTGAAAAGGCGTGATCAAAGATAGAAAGTGAGGAAGATTTGCTGAGGGACAATAAACAAAACATTGCCGGCACTCCAGATTCCAAATGGCCTTTAGGATGAGGCAAAGGAATACTTCTGTTTATTTAGTGAGAACTGTGTTTTATCTCAGATCATAGCAGTAACCATGATGCCTGGTACACAATACACACTCAACTATTGTAGGTTTTAAAAATATATACAAATAAAGGTTATTTGTTGGTTAAAACACAGGAGAATACTAAAGGTAGGCGCTCAGTTTAAACACACAATTCATTGATTTTAAAGGAACCTGGTTTTCACTGAGAATAATATGGAAATACTGCTAAATTTTATTTGTACAGTTGTTTTTCATAAATGTAAAACCTCCTTGCTGTGGTTGGCAAAACTATCTTAAATCTACACTCATTTTTTGTGGTCCATGTACTAATCTCTTGAGTTTTCGTTTATACAATATTGAATGGGAGGTGGGGAGGATGAGTTTGGGCAAGAAATAAGCAGGATTTAGCCTCACAATATGAAGATCCCCCATAGCAGTGCAGAAAACGCAGCATCTCCTGCCATCTTAAGATAAGGAAATGAGTATTTAACTCACAGCATTGGAGTTAGGCTGAGTTAAGGTCTGTAACCCAGATGGGAATTGAGTACACGTTATTGCTGGAAGTTGTCCAGCAGGACTGGCTCCTTCCTATGCTCGCCTTCTTTCATACAACCATGTCAGATGTTGAAGATCTTTCTCCTCCCTCCTTTGTCTTGACGGTTTCTACCTCTGGAAAATCTTTTCTAATACTGACAACCATCAATTACTCTGGTATTCCTAGCTAAACCAAATCACTGGCTAGATTTTCTGACTTCTCTCTAATAATCAAAATCTATTTCAATGTTAATGTTCCCCTTGCAACTTTCTTCAGCCTACTAATGTTGTGTTAGAATCACATTAAAATTTTAATCAGGCCAAATGTGTTGCAACACTACCAAAGAAAAGTGAGAAACAGCTAGGTTGATCTGTCTGTGGGCTGTCCAGTTAGAGATTGAATTCACCTAGTTACATATCTGTAACTTTATGCATACATTCAACCACCTGCTAGACATAATCAGCAATTATGGCATTTTCTGCATATACATATAGGTAATTAGCATTTAGGGAGCAGGTGTCTTTTTCTGTTTTCTGCTGCTGTAACATAACACCAAAGACTGGGTAATTTATCAAGAAAAGAAGTTTATTTGGCTCATGGTTCTGGAAGCTAGGAAATCCAAGAGCATGACACTGGCATCTGGTGAAGGTCATCCCATGGCAGAAGGGATCACATGACAAGCACACATGAAGACAGAGAGAGATGAATGGGGCTGAACTTATCTCTTTTTAAAATCAGGAATCCACCTTTGGCAATAACTAATCCACGCCCAAGATAACAGCATTAATCCAATTGAGGACACAGCCCTCATGGCCTGTTCATCTCTTAAAGGTCCATCTGTTAATACTGTCACAATGGCAATGAAATTTCCAACATACAAACTTTTGGGGACACATTTAGATTTATGAGCCAGAATGTCTAAGTTCTACTTTCCATTGTGCAAAGGTTTTTACAATCAAAGAGAAACAGAAACTCAAGCAATTATCTGGCCAATTTGTGGGAGGAGTAAATAACTTGAAATATTGCTTGAAATTATTGACTTTATATAGAAACAGAATTTCAGGACTGGAAGGGACCTTATATACCAATGAGTAAAATTCATCTTTTGTGATCATCTGAGCTATAACTAAACATCTCTGATGGCAAGAAGCTCACTACCTCACAGAATGACCCATTCTATTTTGACACACCTGTGACTCTGAGAAAATCCATTAATAAAGACATGATCTTGTGAAGCCCAGAAAAATCATCTTAGTTTTCACACTTATAAAATAGGAATCGTATTTTTGTGTTGGATAGATGGATCTAGAATTCAAGGACAGGATTCACGTCTAGTATCATCACCTTGAACAAATCACAGCGCTATGTATTTGATTAATCACTTCTACATGAAGACATTAGGAATATCTCCATGTCACCCAGGGATTCCTTGCCTCTGAACAACAGCAACAACAACAAAAGTCTAACTTGCCTGCAGGATTATCAACCATTTGCCTAGTGAGTTCAGATGAATTTTGTGCTATTTTTGGTTGGTTATACTTGAATTTTTTTTTCTTTCTTTTTTTTTTTTTTTTTTTTGAGACACAGTCTTGCTCTGTTGCCCAAGCTGGAGTGCAGTGATGGAATTTTGGCTCACTGTAACCTCTGCCTTAGCCTCCTAGGTGCCTGCCACCATGCCCAGCTAATTTTTGCATTTTTCGTAGAGATGGGGTTTTACCATGTTGACCAGCCTGGTCTCAAACTCCTGCTCTCAGGTAATATGCCTGCCTTGGCTTCCCAAAGTGCTGGGATTACAGGTGTGAGCCACTGCTCCCAGCCTCGAAAAATTTTTTAACAGATAGGCATCATAGAAATCATCGATCAGCAGTGTTGATTCAGAGAAAAATGGAAACTTCCAAGGTTTAAAGTCTAAGATCTTCACGAATTCTACAGAACATGAATGACCTTATAGCATATAGTTTTCTGTATAGAATAAAAAATTTAAAGACAAATAGAGAATAGAAAGGTCCTGTCATATGTAGAAGCTGGGTAGTTTTCTAGGTGCACTCATTTGCCGAATTACTTCATGCCAAACAGTAGTTTTAGAGGACAGGTAATTCATATTCATTCCACAACAAGGTTAGAAGTTACCAGAAGTCATAGACCTATTGAGTTGCTTGGGAAGGATTACAACTGTAACTATCAAATCCTTGGAAGCCAAGAATGTGCCATGTTATTTAAAAGTAGGGCTTGAAACTCAGATGACTTCAGGAGCCAGACAGGACACAAAATAAACTAAACAGGCCAGGTAAAAGAAAATATTAGTGAACCGAAGATTTTACAGGGATTCAAATTCTCCTTTCTTCTTCCTTCTTCTTTTTATCTATTGGCCAGTGTTTGCAATCTTCAGTTACTTCCTTGTCTTCACGGCTAAAGGACTGTATTCATTTAGGAGGCCATATTTTTAAAGGAGCACTTTTTAAAAATGGAATTTATCCAACGAATAACAATCGCAATAGTGAGGGATATGGAAATCCTGAGGAGATGTTTAGTAACCATGTTAAGAGTACCAACTTTGGAGTTAAAAGGCAAATGTGGGTTTAAGGGCTGGATTTTGCCAGTAATAATGTATTTTTCCTTATAAAAACCACTCGAGCTCTTGAAACCTGTTTCTTTACATGTACAAAGGGAATCATATTGTCTACCACCGGGGCTTGAAGTAAGATTTAAATGAGATAATGTAACATGTTTAACATTTAAAAGGAGGAAGTTATTGTGTATTGTAACAAGTTGGTGAACATTTCATTGTTTTAGGAAAAGAAGACCCGGACTTTGTTGAAGTAATCTACCTTTAAGGTAGGCTGAGCCTTTTAAATCTGGGAATGAGTGACTGCTATTTCTGAGATGAATAGAAGAATTAGCTTTTACTGGGCAGAGAAAATGAGGAACGAAGCAAGGAAGGGAGAGATAAAGGGAGGGAGGGAGGGTTCAGAAGCCCATGCATCTACTGTGCGATTCCTCAGGATGTTTTTGCCACAAAGCTATTATAAACATCTTAAACACAAACTGCTTAGATCCAGTGTCATTTTGTGGAAACCTGTAAAGAGACTGGGTTTTTATATTGGCAGTTTATACAAACAAGCAAATTAGAGAATGTAACCTGAAGAAAATTAGAAAAATTAGAGTTGGATTTTGAATCTCAGGGGACCAAGAAACTGAATTTGAGCCATGTGTAAGGAACAGGTGGGATCCACAGGGACAGCTGTGTTCCAGTTATCCTGGGAACCATGGAAGAAACTAGAGAATAAAAGATTGTTGGGAGACCTGATATGTGTGTTCCAATATTGGAAGGGCTGTCAGGGGTGCGATTTTACTTAGTCTCTATAGGTGGAGAGGGCAGACTTTAGGACAATTTGCTGATGTAACTAAGAGGCTAACTGTGTCTTCACAGAAGAAATGCACAAAGCTGGCCAAAAATTAGTCAGCAGCTACATCAACCAGTAAATGTCCTGTCATGTGAAGTGTTGAGGTAGAGGTTTAACTGTTAGACATGTGGGGGAAGAGGTATTCCTGTGTAAATGTGACTTGGAAATAGAAGTCATCTAAGTGCTCTTTAATATTTTGGAGTTAATGTAAAACACCATGGAGGCCGGACGTGGTGGCTCACGCCTATAATCCCAGCACTTTGGGAGGCCGAGGCAGGCAAATCACGAGATCAAGAGATTGAGATCATCCTGGCTAACACAGTGAAACCCCATCTCTACTAAAAATACAAAAATTAGCCGGGCGTGGTGGCACGTGCCTGTAGTCCCAGCTACTCGGGAGGCTGAGGCAGGAGAATGGTGTGAACCCAGGAGGCGGAGTTTGCAGTGAGTCAAGATTGTGTCATTGCACTCCAGCCTGGGCGACAGAACAAGACTCCATCTCAAAAAAAAAGAAACACTATGGAAAGGATGGCAGGAGTACAAAACAGAATCTGGAAGTCCTTCTGTTGGGAGGAAGACATGGACCCTAATAATTCCCTTTTCATGTGCCCATGATGTGGAAATTTTAATCTGCATGCTTTTGAAGTTGATCCTGTTCAGCAGTTTTATTCTAGGGATATTTTTCTCATCCTCAGAGACTTTTCATTAACCATCTCAAAAGGGAGGAGATTAAAAGCCTAAAAAAAAATAAAAGTATGCAAGAAAGTACAATAAAAAGGGAGATACAGGAAGCAGTACAAAGAAATACTATTAAACTATTATTGATCTATCATTTGAAGGTAACCAAAATGGATTATTTTAATAAGATTAAAATTGCATTTTTAAGATTATTTTATACCTTTATGTGATAGCATCATATAGTGACTTAATTTGTATGTTCATATGAGATCTTTGAGTAATTTTAAACAAATTCTTTCAACACACATGTATATCCTTAGAGAATGACTAATATCCTTGAGTAGGCAACTCTGGAACAAATTTAGATTATTTGAATGGGGCAAAAATGAGGAACATCTATATCAGAATAAGCACTGCTGTGCCACAGAATTGAAAAAAACAAACTTTCTCTGGCTTGATGCATGAAAAGGTTGTTTCTCATTCATACTACATGTCCAATGTGGATCATCAGGGGTCTCATTTTAATCAGAGATTCGGGGTACCAGAAACTATCATCTCAAGATGCACTTTCATGATTACCATTGTAGGAACAAGAAGCATGATAAATCATGTACTGGTGCTTAAAGCTTCTACCCGTAAGTGACGTTGCTTCTCCTGTTAACATTTTATTGGCCAAAGCAATTAACATGGCCAGGTCTAACTTCAAAGTGCGACATGGATGTTCAAAACAGCTACTGAGAAACCTCAATTTAAATGGATTCATAACTTGATGCTGTGGCTAACAGAGAACACAGTATAATTTAACAGTTGAAAGCATGGGTTCTCAAGTCAAATGCCTGTGCTTGGAGTAAGGGCCTCTAGTCACTAGTTATGTGACCATTGGTAGGTAAAAATCTCTATGCCTCAATCCCTTTTAAAGAGGTTCAAAGAAACCAGCACCTACCCCATAGAATTGTTGTACGTTTCAAATAAGATAATGAATGTAAAGCACACAGTGTAACACCTGGCATGTGGTCAGTGTTCAGTAAAAAGTGGCTTCAGTCATTTTGATGATGAGAAGGAGGAAAAAGGAAGATGCAGAGGAAGAGGAGGAGGAGTTGTGTTTCACCTCCAGATCCTGGGATGCAGTACTAGGATGGAGTTCAGTCTCAGAATTCATTCATTCATTCAACAAATATTTACGAAGCTCAATGCCAAGAGTTAAACATAAAATACTGAGCAAAAGAGACACGGTGCCTGCTGTTTTAGATTGTATAGTCCAACCGAAATTCTATAGAAAGATACGTAGCTGAGGCAAAAGTATCCCCATTTCTAAGGTGTCTTCATCAGGGCACTGTCTACTGTTTCATGCTTAAACCATCTTGCCTTACATATGTCTGCCTCTGGCACTCTGATTGCTTATATAATCATACCAAAGGCTTACCCTGGCATTCCAGAGCCTTTACTGCCTACTGACTCTACCTAGTGGGAGGTTTGCTTATAAGCCTAGATCCCCATGGTATCACACTTCTTGGCTTTGCACACATGTCTTAGCCTCCTGCCCTGTTCTACCCTGTTCTGCTGCTATCTAAAAATATCCAATAACACAAATCTCCAATAACACAAACTGGGCAATGCGCTAATACTTTAGGACATCTTTTGTCCTATATTTCTCCTCTCTCAGAGGGCAGATGAAACAAGGAATGAAACGAAATGGAGAAAGAAAAGACAAAGCAGGAGGCAGTTACTGTCAGACAGAAGCATGCTCAAAAGTTAGAGAAATTTTAAAAGCCAAAGAAATAAATCACTTTTTTCTTCATCCTACATCAAGTCCTAAAAGCATCCAAACGGCCATATCATAATATGTTCCTGGCTGCCTACAGGATCTCAGTGCGGAAGAAAAAAGCAAAGGGTTCAGGCCATATAGTTGTATTGGCAGTACCGGTTACTTGCCAACTTCCCTTCCTTGCACTTTGAACATTTCTTCACTGTTTTTAATTGTGAGAAGTTCAACATCAGAAATCACTCTGCACAATCTGAGAATCAATGATGCTAAATGAAAAGGCTGTATTCTTCCTTTCCCTCAATGGTTGATAGAGTTCAAGGTCATTCTCATGTGTGGATCCAAGAGAGTAGAATCTCAAAGGTAACCTTCCCTTGCAGTAATTGTTCATCATTAATGTTGTCTTCAGAAGTACATCTTGGGCAGGTGTTCATATCTAAGTCTAAAATAATCATTACTTGGCAATCATTAACATATATGAAAGTAATCTCTACATGGTCATATTTGAAAAGACATATAATTTTTAAAGTCTTCCCCTAAAATTAAAAAATATGTTAATCTACATAATAACCAAACAGATTAGCCCACTTTCATTGTTAAATTCAATGTAGCATAGATACTTTAATAGGAGAATCATATCGTAAATATGCCAGAGAATTAATTGATCTCATTTAATTGAATCTGAGACCCATAAACTGTGATACCTTATGCTGCCCTAATTGCATGTGATGTTGTAAACGATCAACTCCATGTGATGGATGTGTCTAAGCTGAGATGTATCTATTTGTCTGGCATTTTTATGATCTCTGATTTCACTTAAACTTTAAAATGCAGTCAAATTACAGCATAATCAGGATTTAGGGAAAAAACAAGCTTTCAAAAATCTGCACAGATGTGGGTTATTAGGTTTAGGCACTCTGAATTTACCAGCTATATATTCAGAAGACTTCCCCAGTGATTGCCACAGAATTATTAACAAAATCCAGAGGCCCTGGAGCTTCTTAAATGCTTATGAATGAGTTGGCTTAAAAGACTTTTGCAGTCCTCATTTGCATAGTAAAACTGGCTTCAGCTATAAGTTTAGGGAGAAGTTTTAGAAGCTCTGACATGGCAAGTTGCCATGACAATATTTTCCCTGTGGGGAAACGAAACTCAAATGTGCTAATTAAGGGTGCTTAATATCCTTCAAAATTAATTCTTTGTTACCTGCGGTGGTTTAATTATTCCCTTATGGAAAGCTTGGAAATGCCCTGCATCTTTAAGTACCAGTGGACCACACATTGATACTGAGTCAGCAGCCACTTTGAAAGTATTTCTTCCGCTCATTGACTATAGGGCAATGGCAAAAGAGAAAAAGACTTTAGATGTTACAATAAAACAGTAAGACAAATCTCCACTGGTGGTTTGCAAAATTCGTTTCATTGATATCATCATACCTCAAATGAAAGAACCTTCCAGAAAAAAAAAAAATCTTTATAGCAATAAAAATGAAGGGAAGGAAAAAGTTGTAAATAACACCAGGCAATTCTAACTAATCTCCAACCAGCAGGAGCAGCCAACCAACTCTGACACTTCCCCACAAGCAAGTAGCCTGCCCTGTCCACAAAAGTAAAAATCAAACGTTCTCAGAGGATATTGGTTGGACTCAGAGATAATTAACCATGTATGACTACCTTAAGTAAGAGACTTGAGTGTTATCCAGGTAACTATTGTTTCTTGTGGAATTCTTGCATCAGGGAGCTCTATATAGTTATGGGACACAATAAAAAGCTCTAAATGTTCAGCTCTAAATGTAGGTACAAGTCATGGGCTCAAACATCACTTCCTCTGGCAGTGAACTCTGACCATATAATCTAAAGTTGCTACCTAATCTATCAAATCACCCCATGTTATTTTCTTCACATGCTATGTGAAATCTTCTTGTGGGTTTAGTTATTTACTTGTTTGTTCTTGTCTTCCCACCACAGCATGTGGGCTTGGGGACAGCAGGG